CTCAAGGTATGGCGCCAATATGTCAGTGACAAACTGATTAAAAACATCTGCAGTCATCCATCCTGTATCACTCCGTCCGATACCCCAATGTGGCGGCACCGACGACGCAATTTTTTCCGGGAGTCGTTTGTAAGGAAATACTATCAACGGAGGACATGTTCTTCCATCAGCAGAAAATGTGAACAGTAATGTGATATTTTCTTTGGTGTTTCCTTGTTCTACGGCATAAACATTTTTATCACCTTTAGCTGCAAGAACTCTACCTGTAGAAGGACAAAGCTGAAAACCTGTTTCATCAGCGTTAAAAACACGTTGTGGATCTTGAATGGCCTCCAATAGATTTTCAGTAGTAAAATAATCCTTGATTTCTGCGAACCATTTTTTTATATCGCTCTCAGCCACGCAGACACTAGCTTTAGAAACGCCCTCACTGGTTCTTTGACTGATATCGGGATGACGTTTTAAAAAAGCTCTCAGCCAGCCTTGACCAGGCCTATTGTTATTAAACGGAGTATCGCGTGGATTTGCAGTCAAAAATTTTTGAACAGTATCGAGAACATCATTTGCTTTTCTCGGAAAGCCTTTGCGAGACATTCTGAGTAACCAGTTTTTAATTGTATCTTCCTCTTCATAAGTTAAGTATGGCATTGGCCCAAATTGAGATCTCGAAGTAGGATTCTTTAATTTGAACTGTAGAGTTGCTCTTGGAATATTGTACTTCTTTGCAACTGCTCTCAAAGACATCGTTTTGTCATTAATTTTTTCCAATGCCTCATCAAGAGCTTCTTTGGTGTATTGGGGTTTTTTTGGCATGGTGTGTTTTTTACCAGTCTACCTATTGGAGTAGAAAAATACGATCATTGAATTTTAAAAAATACGTAAAAAGTTACACAGTAATTGGCATATATTTGTATTGGTTAGTAATGTAAGTGGCACAGTAATTGGCCTAGGCCAATAACTATTTACAGTCCTCTGAAATATATGGAGATTGAACTGGCCGCATAATTTTAAAAATAAGACGATAACTCTCTATTAGAAACGCTCTTTACTAAGTATAGAATAAATATAGTAATGGGCATAAGAGGCCAATTACTATAAATTGAAAAAAATACAGTGACAGTTATTGGCCATAACAATATTTTAGGTTATAATCAATTTTTTCTTATATCACACCTTAAATCCGCTAATTAAACATACAAACTACATATTTTATAGGTTTTCAGTTACTTTACTACATTCATGTTTCTAAAATTATCATACTTAAAATATCTAATGTCTTACAAAATTTAAATTAAACTTACTTATTTTTGCTCCAGTGCCACAAAATCACAAATCACAAAAAGACCGTTACACCTAACAAAACTTTTTTGGCGTTATTTAACAGTTAGTAACAGTGTTGCCAACATAAACTTTCTGTATCTTACCTTTGTTAGCTTAGTTGGTAGTTTTTTAATAATTAAATTTAATTGGCCAATTACTATCTGAGGGCCAATAACTATACCGTTTCCCCTATAATACGTAGAGAGAAATCCTCCTTGTCACAACTCACCTCTGTCACAACTCACCTAGGTCTCCCCTAATTCTAATTCTTTATTCGTTCTAATACTAAATTAGTGCTATTGAGACCTAAAGAATGTATGTGATGTCGTCTTTTTAATAATTAGTTATTATTATGGTATTATTTTCTATAGTCTTTTTGGAATGTGAACGGTTCTAGAATCATGGCGAGAGAGTTAGTCATAGGATACGACTGCAACGATACTGTTGTCAAATCCATACTTTCTTTATGATTTGTGCTTCGTTATTAAAGTAAATGTCAAAGTAGTAAAATGAAACGAAATAGCGCTATAACATCGCTTAGATATTGTACTCTATGGCTAGAGTTATAACTAGAGAAGGTAGGCGGTCACCCTGCTAGCAACAAAGGTCACCACTGGAAATAAGGTTTACCATTTATCACTTACCGGATTGTCTCAGTGTTATTGACTGTAGATGGGTTGCATATCTTATCTATGAACACTTTTCTATACACGAGAATACTGAAATGCAGTAAAAAAATTATATGGAAGAAGAAAGAAGCATTTAATGACTTTAGAATAAATATTAGAGTCTACATCATAATTATGATAAACGAAAAAATAATATATTTATATATATAAGGAGTCGTCCTTCGACCACGCGAATGACGCGATTTCGTCGTACGAACGTATACAAAACATAATAATACTTACTCATGCTCAATTCTACTGTTCTCATAGCTATATGACAATGTATACACATTCTTATTTCTGATCAAAGAATCTATAATTTCAATTGCATAAACCCTGCTTTCATCATCAAATATATCAAGTAGATTCTTTATATTCTGCACATCTCTTATGACCCTCACTAAAAAAGCATCTAAGTACGGTGTCAGTTTTGGAAACCACAAATCCTTTTTGGTGTTCTTCAAGAATAAAGATATTTGTTTCAGATAATACGCCAGTACTTTCTTATCTATGAGCTGTATCAGCTTTTGTAGGGACATTGTCTTTGGATTTGAATCGTCATATTGTATGTTGGTTCTAAAAATGTTAAAATACAAACTTGAGTACCTGCACTATAATATGGTTCACATATATGACTATGACTGAGACTTAAATATACAAAATAAACTTTCAAGTACTCTATATAAACTGAAATTTTGAAAATTGTAGCTTTTAGCTCTTCTCATAAGGCTTGCAAGTATTGTTGAGACACCACACTGACATCTATTTACTAATCACTAGGAATAAAATACCTATTAACATTGTCATTAGTTAAAGGTGACATTACTAATACAAATTTTGGAATCCAGAACATTCATTAGAGCTAAAAGTCATCTTTAATCCTTAATGAATTTTGTGCAACTGGGTGTGAATTTATCTAACAGATTGTATGTTTTAATGCATTGATAGTTAATTTCACAATTGATTCCTTAAAGTATCTTGATATTTTGATGTATCCTAACACTGAAAACTGACAATTTCATTCATAGGAAAGTGACCTACCAGTCTAAATATTTTTATCAAACGATTTTAAAATATGCCTTAACAACCACATTAAAGAAACATTCGATAGATAGAATATTCTTTATTGTACACACAATAACAAAATACACTTATTATGCAATTTTTCTTGAATGCATGCTGAGATATGGGTCATGTGCACTCTACTACAAACTTTTGATTGGTTTGAGATACATTAGAGCTAATAGACACTTTTTAAGTAGACCCTTATTTTATTAACAGTGTGGTGGAAGCTTGGAAGAGATTACTGGCAGAGTTATACCTCAGCACAGGGCAGAGAATAACTTAAAAAACTCTTAAAGCAGTAACATATAAAAAACAGAGTTGAGATTATTTTCAAGCCAAATTTGCAGTGTTATTAATAAACAAGGTTTAGCATCGGAGTATACTTATGCTGAGACTGCGCTTAGTATTAGTCAAAATTCATATTATTATACAGACACTTAGCAAAGGTTAACCTAGTACAAGGTTCTAGAGGAGTGATATTTACTCCTAGAAGGTAGTGAATGGTTTGCTTATTCTCTTTATATTATGAATTTGGACTAATGCTAAAATTGCAATTTTTGTGTAAATTTACTGTGACGCTAAATCTTGTTTATTAATAGCACTGTTGAAGTCCATAAAAGGAGAAATTTAAGTTATATTAGAAAAAGTAAGCAATTAATAATGTAAATAAATCTTAATTTTTTTTTGTACGACTGACACCTCTTTGTTGAGGTGTCAAAGAAAATAAAATTCAAAAATATTTTTACCAGTTTTAAATCAATGATATTAACAAAAAATCGCAGTAAAAGGAGAAAGATATTCTTTATGTATTGGTAAATACCAACGATGTTTTTATTATCTGGTAAGGGCTAGTCACAGCATTGACTTAATTTTCTTATCAGTATTTATAGACAAATAATTTTCGGCAAACGCACTATATTTAAACAATGCACAATTCAGAATTTATAAAGCACATACCTTTTTACGTTTTTACCACCGTTGATGGTATTCAGCATTCTTGCACAAAGTTTTGTAAATAAGGCAGTATCAACAAATGTCTTATATTAAAGGTGACTTATTTTGGAAATTAAGTACGCTCTGGGCTTTGGTTTCTGATTTAAACAAGTTTTCGAAAATATTTTCTTTCGAAACACCGTCCCTCCGAAAAATCAGCTTATTAATTTCGTTTACGACAAAGGGATAATATTCCATGCAGCCATCCATTTTCTTTCCACTTTCACGTAGTCTCCTAGGTTTACCGTATAATTAATCTTATATTTTCACGTGAAAGACGGTTTTCGATGATTTAAAGCTTCTTTTGTTTACAGAATCGATATTTTAAAATGTAATGCTAAACTTAAATAAACAACAAGGATTTTTTACATACAGGACTAACCACAAACTTTAAAATGTGAGAAATTATACTTATCTTCGTGCAACTTCATTATTCAAGAAACTGCTATTGAAGTCGGGCAGTTACCATTTAATAATCTACAGAAAACTATCTATTGAGCTTTTATGTAGATTATTTAATGATAACTGCCCAACTTCAATAGCAGTTTCTTTCTAATCTACATTTCAATAGAAATATTAAAATATATGTATATGAAAAAATTCTAATTTTATAAATATCGATTACTTTTCACATCCCTAATATCAGATTTCATTGTCAAAATAGGAAATAATAGTCTTAATTTATAAATATCTTGCATTTCATTTTTATTTTACATGTAAAAAATTATTTATTTACTTGACATTGGCAGAATTGTGCGAAATGCGCAGATAAGCCATTAATTAAAAAGAAGAAGAAGAAGATAAATATCTTTGTTTTCTATATACATTGTATTTGTATTATCTTTAACAATGTAATCAGATAAACGCGTTCAGAGCTTTTTTTTATTTTATTTTAATTCAAAATTGACATATTTTATTATTGTTTCTTTACGTGTAAAGACCACAAACGTGACATTGGCGGAAATGTGTAAATGCAAATAGGTCATGAATTAAAAAAGAAAAAGATGTATCGTGTGTATTTTGTAAATTGAATTTTGTTTGTGAAAATGAAAGTTTTTTTTATTTAAAAGTGTCTTTGTACAATATTAAATAAACGAAAATGTCTTTTGACGTCAATTGGGACCATGAAAAGTATAGGGAAGATCATGAGAGCGACGAACATTGGGAGTTAAGGAAAGCTTTCATGGAGCGTTGGAAAAATGACTATCCTGAAGAAAGACTTGTTTGTTTAGCCAGGGTATTTACTAATATGGAGTTCATGGGCTGCCGGTACCCTCCTGAAATCATGCACGAAGTCGCAGGATTATCACACGAGGTACTAGAAACATTGCTTTTACAAAGTGGTACGTACGCCAGACCAAGGTGTTGCTGTCTCTGAGATCCCGGGTTTGATTATCGGTTGGGTTAAAGCAGAAAAAGCACTTTTCTATATTGTATCGGGCCTGGGGGTTGTGCTACCTTCCTTGTCTCAGATACTCTGTTATATGGGGGATTTAGCTACTCATCTTGGAATCTGAGCAATGTATTTGATTTTGTCTAATTTTTTTCCATTTTATTTTATAATTATGATGCCTTCTAGTGTGTATTATGATATCGCCGATAAAAAGTCAAGAAATTATAACTGCAAAAATGTAACTTTTAAGGAGGCAAAAAAAATATTTCAAATCTGTTATAATTTTTTTCATTATATTTTATTTTAATGTTTTATTAAGTAAACTGACTGCAATATTATGAAAAAATAAATTTATATAAATGTTACTGGTTTTTAAATAAATAGCAGACAGAAGTTATTGTTTCTTTGGTTGAAATATGTTGGTATTTGAAGATAGTAGTTATTGCTAGTGCAGATAGAACTTGTTTTTAAATTAACATAAAAAATATTAGGGAGATAATAAAATATTTTAAGAACATTTTTCAAGTGTAAAATTATAATAATAGGGTAACAAGCAATATAAGTGACAAAAAAGGGCTATAACTATAGAAAATATGTTGTAAATAGATAGGCTTTATGTAAAAATGAATGACAAATATTTTGTAAAAATCAACAGCAACTTGCGTTGTGTAACTTTAATGCATTGTAAATTTACAAAATTTAATCACAGAATCAAGAGCATAATAATTCTTTTCAAAATAAACATTCGAAAATATTGAAGACTTTATTTTTTATTTTATTTTATATGTTGCTTAGACAAAACCTCGAAATATTTTTTTTTTCTGTTCCTCACGTCTAGTATATTGTAAGTAAAAAAAATCAATAAAGTAGATAAATTGTCATAGACATTGCGCGATTACTACCTAATTAGAATGGCATGTGAATCACATTAAAATACACAAAACAATTATCAAGTCAAAAAACAGTGTGCTTTTAAAAAAAATATTAGTCAAGACAAAAATATTTATTCAAATAGCAAGTAATCATAATAGGGATGACAGTGGCTAGGAAGAGCTGCTTTAAACTGTTGCAGATGGTTAAATTTTGTAGCTTTAATTGAAATACTATTGGAATGTAATTGATCATAGGTAACTTTGTTATTAATTATTATATCCAGTTTTGACCAAAATTTTGTTTCATTTAAATTGTTCATTTATTATGATAAATTTCATTTAAATTGTTCATTTATCATAGATTATGACTCCAAACTCAACCATGTGTGATGTGTGGGATCTCCAACCTTGCAACCTGGTGTAATACTTTTGTATACCAAATTTTCTATGGCAGTGTAATTTAATGCATGCCCATGCATTTTTAGACAAAGTAACATAAATCGTAAATCAGCTCCAAGAATAATTTTGAGATGAATTAATGAGATGGTAGCTTTGGTATTTTATTGAATAATGAGGCCAGTGTCATCATTTTATAATTTTCTGGATTTGATAGTGGACGACGACGCACCAATTTATTCATTTCTTGATTCGGAGTCGTACCAAACTTGCCAGTTGATTGTATAGTAATCTATTTTACAATGAATAATTATTATTATAAACTATTTTAAATTCAATATAATAAAAATGGACAAAATGTCAGTTATTATTTATTGACTCTTTATAGGCGATATATAATAGGTATTTTTACCATTTTACTCTGCCGTATTGGCCATATCAAATTAAATTTTCTTTTGGCTGATATTTCTAATGTATTTTATTATAAAACATGCATTTTGTTTTCTAAAATCAAATTTCTTTAATAGTTAGTGTTTTGTTTTCAACGCCTTTGAACAGTTTTCGTCGTCATGGATAAGATAAAAATTCGAGTAATTGTGGAGTATGAGTACCACCGTGGCAGCAAAGCGGCACAAGAGGCACGGAAATGGGCAAAGAGTTTCCACCCGCCCGATAAATGTCATATCTGAGGAAATAATTTTTTTATTGTTCTACAAAAAGTTGTTAAAGAAAATATCAATGATTTACAAATTAATATAACGTTATTAATTTATAACGTAGATAAACTTTTAATCAAACGAAACTTATAAAAGAACATGTTCTGATTCACTTATTGATTCATCGTCACCGAGCATGAACTATTGAAGTTGGATCTATGACCTTTGGTTAGTGGAGTTGTTTGTGGGGAAGATATTATTAAAGAAAACACCTGGAAATTCATAATATGGTGAAATAGTGGTTACAATTTTTTATGAAAGACTCAGTTTTAAAGTGAGTGAGTAAGAGTGATCAAATATTTGTTTCAAAGTTTAAGGTTATTCTATCTCTGAAGGGATGCGACATTGGTTAAAATTTATATAGAAATCTGTTATTTTTGAAGATAGAAATTGCTAAGAAATTATCTTTTTCTTCTACTTCTTTCTTCGGACGTCTCCGCAACTCGACGTCAAAATTGCGCCTGTTTTGCGTATGGAGGGTGTGTGGCCGGATACTACTCCAGCCAGCTCTGCTAGAAACACTCCTAGCGCCTTCACGTTTTCGATGGCCTCCTGGAGGTTACCCGGCGAGCCGAGGTGCTTTGCCCGGTAGTTGGCCTCTCCGTTTCATTCCAGCAAGACGTAAGCGGCTGTTTCTTCCGCCCTCATGCATCATCTGCACAAGGGGCTGTCAGTGACACCTAGACTGAAAAGGTGCCTGTTAAAGTTGCCATGACCAGTGATAGCACCTGTTACCAGGCGCAATAATGGTTTACTTAGCTGTAGAAGGGCCTTGGAGAGACGAGCGTTTACTTGGGGTAGTGCGAGTTTTGCCGGCCTGCAGGTCTCCAAGGTGTTGCTAAGAAATTATATTGTTTATGATTCAAGAAGGCGGGGTCATTTTTTTTGGCGAGAGTAAAGAGTTGTATATTAAATATGTTGCGAAGATAAAGCATCATTCTATACTATTGCGAACTTATCAATTATTCGAAAGCCACGTTATGCTCTCTCAAGATAGCAACTAGAGTCGTTAACCCTTATCAATTAGCACCGGACTTACATAGTGGTAGATGGACTTGCCCAATCTCCTATGGATTATTAATATGGATTATTTAACAATTAATATTTAATAGAAATATTTTTTTAGTATTCTCATAACATTACATCATAATCAACAACGTTTATATAATCAACATAAGCAATTAATACTTTTACTTATAAAGTAATAAGCGCATTATTAGTAATAAATTACTGTCAGTATCGTATACATGTTCAATATTTATAAATTCAATGTCATTAGTTTGGCCTGAATTTGATGCTACCGGTTCTATATCTTCTAATTCACGCTCTGTGAGAGAAGATTCTATATCCTTTGGCATATCATTTCGTGATATATCATCTTGACTAGCATCACAAAACTTCTTGACCATTGTCTTCTGTGAAATACGACTTTTTGTGTTTACCTTTGTGCAACAAATTCCAGTAACATGACAAAAATGTTATCTTCGCTGCTATAATGTGAGACGATTTCTTTTTGCACTGTGTATAAATGCCTGTGGACTGAACGACTTTTCTGTTGCTGCAGATGTGCAGGGTGTAGTCAATACCTGAAGTGCGACTTTAGTGAGCTACCTTGATCTAGAACCACAAATATCATTCATCAGCAGGAAAGGACTCACATTCTCGGCTGCTTTCGAATTGAATGATTTATTCCAAACCCCTTCTTTACTTCTGTACTGGGCAAGATCAGCAAAACAATAAATGTTACAGTATTCTACGAGATTACAAAAGTATTCCATTGATTCAGGTTTTTCAACTTGATTAAGTTCGACGCCAATAGATTTAGGATCGAGCATATACGCCGCATAATGTATGGGTTTTAGGCATTGTTTAGCTCTGTTTTCAACAGATATTATTATGTTCGCTTTATTTTCGTTGTCAAGCACTGTAACAGTCGGTAACACAAATAATAGTTTTGATTTTAAGTTTTTAAATATTATATATACTTCGTGTATGATGAATTGGTTGCCTTCCAGTTAAAGTATACTATCTATCACTGGTTCAAGAATAGTAGTATGTACTTGATTCTTATTTATATGTTTTTCTTATAATTCTTAACTATGATCGTTTTTAAGAAATCTAAACACAATAAATTTAAGGTATGCGCTGCACAATTTAATGGTATCATATGTGGATATTATTATTTTTTTAATTTTAAACGACTTTTGTAGATTTCTTGCATTGTCTCCGATAAGTACAAAAATTGACATTATGAAGTTTATTATACGTTCATTACATGTGTCAGTCCACCCGTCACACCGTAAGTGTAGGAATTTCGATGCTTTTAAGTCATCACTAATTTATTTGTTCATTTCCTTGTATATCTTTTCCAAATATTTGGAAGCAATCATCTTTCTATTGGATAAACTAAAATTCAGTTTGTGAAAAAAAAAATAATCCATGACGGGTGTTCGACCATTGCGTCCCAGTTATCAATAGGGCCCTTGAGAACTCTTCTCTTAATTAATTACCAGTTTCTCTGGACGACGACATGTTCTGCGAGTTCAAAGAATTGATACAGATTCTGGCGTTGATTTTGATATAGATGTACTAGCGTTTCGGTTATCATCTGTAATTTGTTTTTTTTTACTGATTGTGGACAGTCAACACATGTTAAAAGATGTTTAGACATTTTTTTTTATACGTCCTCTTTTATATTGCTCATCGCAGAAGCAGTATTTCACGGATTTGTCTGCTAGATCGTGATAATGTCGCCATATCTTTTGATTTTTTTTTCTTCCCATGACAGTGCTAAGAAATAAATTATTTATTTCTTTAATTTCAATTATTATGAAATGTTTCTTGGTCGATACATTTTTAATTCAATGTACTGTTGAAAGGGGAGTAGATATGTTCACTTTTAAACTATCGCGCTGCATTATTAAATACATATAATACCGGGTATTAGACGCGACTTTACAACTAACCTGCGCCGACGTTTCGGCCGGGTTGCACCGGTCGTGGTCCCGACGAGGCTGGAGCAACAAGTCTACGCTTCTGCATCCGAGGATGAATCTTCTTTCACCCTCAGATTTTTCATCCAACTACCGTCACAAACAACACTAACGGTGTCCCTATTCCGCACATGAGCTGTATTCTGAATATTTACCTACTGCGAAAAAGAGGTTGCGTTTTAGCAAATACTGGATTCCACGCTAGTGATAATTTATATCCGTCTTCCCGATTGAAGTTATTAGGGTGTTTCTTAATTTCAATCGCTTCACGCACTACTCTTGAATAAAAGTGGTGATTTGTGGAAAGCGTACGGTAAAACGCGATCCAGTGATTTGTGCCCCTTTCTAGTAGGTGTTCCATAATAGCAGACTTACTCTACTAACGGTTTTTGACAGCTCTGTGTGTTCTTTAACCCTTTCCTCGATGGATCTCTTGGTTTTACCTACATAAGAACCACCACAGCTACAGTCGGTTTTGTAAACCCCCGGCGTTGACAAAGGCAGAACGTCCTTGGGAGTGCCTACGACGATACTCACTCTTATACCTGGAGCATAAACTGTCGGAATAGAGTACTCACGTAATACGTTGCCGATCTTGTCCGTCACTCCTTTGACATAAGGCATATAGGCTGGCTGTCTACTCACCATAGGATGCCTGTACCTCATCACTATCCATTTCAATGTAAAACCTCTTGAACATGCTGTAGCTCTTGTTCTAAATGCTCAGGGTCACAGAGGTCGTGTGCTCTGCTCTTCAATGAATTTACTACAGATTGGTGTGCCGGGGTGATGATGAGATTATGCGTTTAGGTATCTATCCGTGTGAGCTGGTTTTCGGTATACACAGTAGATATGAGCGCTACGCCGGCGCGCCGCCGTCGCTATGAATTAGCGTCAGCGCGCCGTCGTCGAGCAAAATACGCAGCGCGCTGTCGCGACATGTACATACCGGTTAATAAAATATTAGAGGTTAAAGTATGAAATAGCCGTTTTATTGTAATAGGTTCTTTGAATTGACACAGAATCTTCATGGTTTGAAGTTTTCGAAAGAACTTTTTTCACGTGGTTTCTATGATGTTCTTCTTAAAAAAAATGTGAAACATTTGAATATCGACTTAGACAAGAAAGATGCGAAAATTCGATTGATTTTTGAATACGAGTTCCGACTTGGAAGTAACGCGGCAGAAGCAGCCCGCAATATCAATTTTGCGTTTGGAGAGAGAGGTCTGCTAATGAACGCACCGTGCGATTTTGGTTTAAACGAAATTAAATGAAACTTTTCGTAATAGAAACTTCGACTTGAAAAAGAACGAGTCACGAAAAAGACCGCCCACACAGGTGAATAACGATGAATTAAAAGAGGTTGTGGAAGCCGATCCAGGAATTAGCGGTTTAACGTTATCTTACCCACAATGTTGACTCATTTGCGTCAAATCAATAAAATAAAAAAATACGAAAAGTGGATGCCTCATGATTTGACTGATCTGCAGAAAAAACGCGTGTTGAAACTTGTTTTGCCTTGTTGAATCGGTGCAGAAATGAAGGAATATTGGATCTAATTGTGACATGTGATGAAAAGTGGATTCTTTATGATAACCGTAAAAGAAAAATGCAATGGCTGACCCGCGGTCAAACGCCACAATAGTGTTCTAAAACAAAACTTACCAATAAAAAGGTAATGGTAACTGTTTGGTGGTCTCAGCATGGTGTTGTTCACTATAGTTTTCTCCCATCTGGTCCAGCAATAGCGACAGATGTCTATTGTACCGAACTCTGAACAATGTTCGCAAAACTAGCAGTAAAACTCTTCCAAATCTTCATTATACTAGAGACAGATTGTAGTACCTTTTCTTCAAAATGTTCCATCCAAATGTTGGTAAGTACTGGGGACACTGGACTTCCCATTGCAACGCCATAAATTTGAAGATAATATTGACCTTGGAAGAGGAAATAGCTGCTCCGCAGACAATGATCAAGTAGCTCAACATAGTTGAGCGGCATCTCGTTATCCGTTGGTATGTCTTTCACTTCGTCCAGGCACTCCTTAATTGGAACTTTGGTGGAAAGCGCCTCAACGTCAATGCTCATCATTACATCCTCAGGTTCCAACTTTAGTTCCTTTATAATCTGGACGAAAAGACGGTGTTTTCCCACAAGTGGCTGCAATACCGACGCTGTGTTTAAAAATTACTATTATTTCACGAAATTTATGTCCCTTAGACCAAAATGGCTTATAGGTATACATAGTTTTACGACAGCAAATTTGCTGAAAAAGAGCTAAACGACATAAAGAAGAACAATATTCTCTATATCCTTTAGTTAGTTCAGAGGACAATGAACAGTATCATTTGATATTTTAAAATAGCTTATTCTAAATAGATGACATAAATACTGATTTGATATCACTAAAAATTGCAATTGGATCAATTAGCCTTTTACAGAAATTAGAAAACAATAAGTGACTAAAGTCAACTTGTTACAAAATTTCGAAAATAGCTTTTAACTAAACACATATCTTTGTAAAATACGTAAATTAAATGTCTGACTTACCATACTAAAGCACTAATAGTTACATCTAAATTATTATTAAATATAATGAAGTGAATTGGGTTATCAGGATTGCATCTACACGCGCGAGCGTCGGTCTCAACTCAACTGACAAAGGATGCCTATTATGCATCAAAATGTGCGGTCGTGTTGTGAGCGTTGTGCGCAATGGGTGCGTACCCTCGTGTCAGCTCATACACCTCACTGCTTACTTATTTTTTACCGTTCCTGAGTAATATAGAACATTTATAAATAAGTGATTAATATAGTTTTCTACAAATACCTTGGCCAGTTCATGATCATGTATATTCATTATTTGAGTATAAATAATTGAGTATTATATATTTATTTTCATTTAACAATAAAACACTAGTAAAAAAATAAGTTCAACTTTCGTTTAATGCAAAAAATATTTTTCTCTAAAATATAAATGCCTAGATAAATGCCCAGTGGGCGGGAATTTACGGGCGCTTATCGGGAAAAACCCAATTTGCCCAAAACACCCGGATATTTTCCCATCACGCAACATCAATGGCGTTTACGGAACGAACACTACAAACGACCCGTTGTTGATTTGCTCGCTTCCGTTCTGGAAATTTTGACCTGAAAAATAAACCCCGTGGTCGTCTGAAATCTTTGGTCGACGATGACGAATTAAAGGCGATTGAGGAAGCTGATGAAACTCAATCTACGGCTGAATTGGCTTTCGACGTTAGCATTAATACAATATTGGTCCATTTGCGTCAAATTGGCAAGATAATAAAGCTTGACAAATGGGTACCCCACGAACTCGATGATCACCAACGCGAAGTACGCGTCAAGACGTGCCTTTCACTGCTCAAATGAAGGAATTCTGAACCGTATTGTGTCTCTCGTCGATGGAATCAATTGATCTGTTCGACAAGCCATCCAAACAATGGCTTAAACGAAAACTCATACCTAAAAAGTGATGGTCACAATTTGGTAGTCTAACGCGGGTGTTATTCATCACAGCTTCTTACCAAACGGGACGAGCATTACTGCCGATGTGTACTGTGAAGAACTGAACGCAATAATGGAGAAGCTCGCACGTCTCCAACCAGCTTTGGTCAATCGTTCGGCTCCACTGCTCCTGCACGACAACGCGCGACCTCATATTGCACAGTAGACGGTCTCCAAGCTACAAGAGCTGGGGTTAGAAGTTCTCCGTCATCCGCCTTACTCACCAGACCTTTCGCCTACAGGTTTCTACTTTTTCAGAATTTGGATAACTTCTTGGCAGGAAAAAAATTCAATACCCGAGAGGCAGTACAAAATGCCTTTGAAGAAATTGTTGCCTCCCGTCCAGCTGATTTCTTCAAAGGGCATTGATAAGGTTCCAATGCGTTGGCAAAGATGCACTGATTGCATGGGTGATTACCTTGATTAATAGAAATAAAAATACCCATCACTTATTTCATGAGAAACGGCATTTTCATATGTAAAGATCTAATATTTAATTATTTATTTACAGGTTGCTAAATCTTATAGAAATTCAAGGAAATCAAAATTACAAAGGACCTTTGTATCAGCTTCCACTGCAGCTGAGGACAGGGCCAAAGGTGTTAAACGAGAAGGTGGCGTGGTAACGAACTCCCCACCATCAAAGTCAACTAGAATAGATTTTGTGCGACAAGGACAGAATTTTGAGAAGCCTCTCACTTCAGACAACAATGATATTAAAGAATCTAATGAAAATGAAGGTGAAGTTCAAAAAGAAAAGAACACTTCTGAAGTGGTAGACACTGAGGACTATTTGAATGAGATGACGAGAGTGAATTGTCTTAATATTAGAGAATTTAAGGAGAGAATGTTTAACACTGCCTTTGGTCGCATGGTCTTGATAATAAGACCTTGGGCTCGTAAATTATGGAATATTCAAGGTAAATATGTACTCTAGTCATAATAAATATAAACTACCGGTCACTGGGCATAGAATTTCTAATTTTATTGCAATGTTCCATACAAACAGAATATCACCTCGCAAACGTAGCCCATTTTGATGAGTATTTTGCTGTTTTGATTAGGTATATGATAATAGATATTGATAGTTCTTTAGAAAACCAAGCACCTGATTTGATAGGTGACACCTATTTATTACATAAGATAATTTTTTATATTTACAACAAATCTATACGTGTGTCTAATTCACAACACATCTACATTCTATCTTGTCATTTTATTTATGTCTGTCCAGTTCAATAAATGGATTTTATGCTTAAGTGTTATGTTTGTTTGTTATTAACTCTATTTCTGATCAATGGTTTGTTTCAGCTAGCTGTCAAGCATGCGGTCTTAACTTACAAAGTGAATATATAAATGGCTGTTTCACATTAACTATAAACGGAAAATTAGTAGCTCAAGCAACCGGGGATACTAAAATGGGTGCGAAATGCATTGTTGAAATAATGGCATGGAATGTGAGTGTTGCGTTTATATATTATTAAGATGCTTTTATCTGTGTAACATATAGGCCCAAGGTCTTAAGGAAACTCACCAATATCCTTTTGTCATCCTTTGACAACGAAACCTTTTACTATATTTCCTCTGTGTTTTTTATTCAAGAAGTTAATTGTTCCAGAGGTTAAAGGAGGAGATGGTAAGCATTTTGGTGAAGGAGCAATGGATCGCCCATAACGGTTCTCGTATTTCTGTCGGTGATGTCACAGGTCAACATAATCAAGATAACTTTGGTACACCTCTTGATTCCAGCGTAGCAACCAAGTGAGTGACTTTGGGAAACTATAAGTAACTGATTTTCGTGATGCTGCGCCCTTGCAGTGATCATGTCTATATAATAAGAACTTCTCACCCAAAGTTTAATTTACCTGGACACCCTGAAACTGTGGTAGTTAAAAAATTCCATTTATCGTAACATTATTTTTAAACATTTATTATTTGTGAGACATAAAAATGAATAAATTGATATTAATTAATCGCTAAATGTGTTGCTAATAGGGATGATGCCTGGGTGAAAAAAAAGAAATTCTATTTGGTTCGTTAGTTAGATAATACAAAAATATTAGATACATATTTTTTAATGATTAAAGGCATTAAAGTTGAGGAGTGGGTGTTCGTTACGTCACAACTATGTAGAAAATGTACATAAGTTTGATTTCATTCGACATTTCAACTCGATGTTTCACATTCTTTCTTTTTTTAAATATTATTATTATTATATTATTTTAAATATTATTTAATTTAATATATAAATATTATTTTAAATATTAGGCCCGACATTAATAACGAGAAAAAAAAATATTCAGAGCAAAATATTAACAGCAACACTTTTCCTTTACAAACTGGTACAATGTGACCAACATTGTCTAAAATATATAATGTTTTGTGCATTGCAGGATGATGAAACTAATGGGTTGGAAAGGAGGCGGACTAGGCGCAGAATCACAGGGGATCGCCGAACCAATACAAGCTAATATGCAAATGGTGAGATATATTTTATATCTTGTAATTAACAAGACACCACCACCAAAATTCCGAATTGTTTTCAATTAATTTACAAATTTTAAAATTTAGAACATTCATTAGACTAAAGTCGTAATTAAACGTTAATGAACGTTTGTGCAGTGTATTACTTCATAAATCTTGTATCCGTCTTACTGTTGCACCCCATTGCCTAGAAGAGGCATTCCTCATCATTTTTTGCCCAGTGTGATTATCTGTAACTTGTTTTCTAGTGTATGCAATAAAGTACCTATTTTATTATTATATCCATGAAGATTATTTAGGCATTAGAGGTAGCGTTTGGTCCTCCCTACATTGCATCATAAATTATCGAAAAATGAATTCTTTGGAGACACATTAATATTTTGAAAATAGACGATATTTCGTTTTTAGAGAAATGTAATAGGCTATCAGGTGTCATGTTAATTTTTATTAAAAGTTCAATGTAGATAGCAACACTAGCAATTGTACCAGTATTGCCATCTACAACGAGCTTTTCGTAGTAGTCCCTATTTTGTATCTTTATTTTAAAACGATTCTCTTTCATTGTAGCTATTCCTAGTATTAATAAATACGTTCTCGCTGCGTAAACAATGCCACTTAACGCTATCTGGTATAGCAAATCTATAGGTTTAGCATTTTTTACAAAGGCCTATTATCAGATGGGTGACCTACAATTTATCACCTTGAACTCCTACGTGCGTCATAAGGTACTTAAAAGGTACACCTTTGGTCCCGTCACTGCATCGTTAAGACTCATCAAGTTCTTATAGATAGTCTCCCATCCATGTGGAAGTTCTCAGCCCGAGCGTTTGGCCATTAATATGCTGATAATGATGATGATTTGAATTTGATTGTTAGGTGAACAGATCGGGTTTAGGTAGTTCAGGTCAAGATATACGCCAATTGAGGCGGGCCGCGAACGAGTTGATGTGTCGTTATATAGCGTCCGACACCCTCGACGTGGACTTAGTGTTTAGCAGTGAATTCAGCAAGGAGGAACGAGCGCAGCTGCATCAGTGTGCGCAGAGAGCTGGACTCTCGTCGAAAAGCTACGGCGATAAAGATAGGTGAGTTTATGTTTAGTGTTGCTAGGTTGCGGAGTTATTTCCGATTTTAGGGAAAAAAGTGTTTTTTTTTTCTGGCATAACTAATTAATTTTTTAATGGTAGTTTGTTAACAAATTTAACCAAATCAATAAATGATTATTACAAGCGTAAATAAATTAACAAACAAAATCTTCTAAAACGTCACGTTTCAGAGACAGATGCAAAGTTTGTATCAGTAGTACTATACAAACTTTGAGATTAACTGTAAATAACTTTGCGTTATGATAATATTATTTATCTCCTTGATTAATGTCGCAAAGTTATTTAGAGTTGACTAGTACTTAAGTAACTTTGCGATATCAAGTCTTGCATTACTTGATATGCAATAAGTTACTAGTAGTTTCATCCCTACTTCCGTCACCAATATAATGAATACTCATTGTCCTCAGATTCCTCGTCGTGAAGAAAAAGTTAGATCCTTTCTCTCTGGCTCGTGCGATTATAGAAAAAGGAGGCGTCACTCCCAAATATCAAGTCTTCATTCCTTATGCTTTGCTCGGTAATGGAAGATGAAACCTGCCATAGACAACCTAGAGTTATAAGAACATTGTTGGTATAAAGTCGGTTAAAGAGAACTTTTTTTTTGTATGGAGGTTAGTACTTTATTCAAATCATCTCTAACCAAGCATAAAGTATATATTAATCGATAGATGGTAAATAAACCTTTCACATGGTGGATATTTTATAATTTACTTAACAACACATAAGAACATTAAGAAAATCTATGGCAACCTAAGTTACGTCCCAATTCATGCTGTGAATTAATCTATTTGGACAATTTTAGGCAGTAGACAAAGATCCCTTTGCCTTTGTTTTAATTTGAGGCCTTTTCTTTTTTAAATCGAGTTTTATGGCATATTAATGTTTCTTGGCAAACCATATCAATTTTAATAACTTAATTCTCTAGAACGGGGGAGCTTTCGGATCTGAACCTTAGATGAAAGATAGAGGATTGTGTCCAGATGCTATGATAATTTTCTATATAGTGGATAGATTATTTCGGAATAAAGTACCAAAAAAAAACATTCTTTTTTGGTTACGTTTTTGTATGGAACTGAATTATATTTGTTACTCGGTTTGGTAAATGTTTTTTTGTAAATGCCGTTACTTTTGTAAGAACCGGTGAATTTATTGCGCCCGTTCTTTTTGTCAACCGAAAGATATCCTTAACGGAATAGATAATATTGGACGATTCAAAAGTGCTTTTAATAAGTATATATTATATTAGAATAGAAAATATTTTAAGTTTGGGGTAACCAAATTTGTTCTATCAAGTATTCAAAGTGTGAAAGGCTTAATATTACCTATGTAACAAACAGCTTTGTATATCAAATTCCTTAGTATATGGCGGCGTCAATGAAACTGCGTTTTAAACAATAATAGATTATATGTTAAAACTTCTAGTGTTTATTTTAGTACCCTAATGGCAACACTATAAAAATGAATGACCGAATTAGTTGAAATATTTTATTTTACCACTACTAAAGTAACTTTATTTGTAAATAAAAATATAAAAAGACGGAAATAAAGATATCAAAGAAGATTTGTGTTTTTATTTATAATATAGCTTATTGAAAATACCAATATTAAACATAGAAACGGCAATATTTGAAAAACTTCGTACGAAAATACTTACATAAAGAGGATTTTGTTAAATTTTGGACATTTAAAAGATTTCGCGTCATGGCCCTGTCTCATTTGTATTGCAGTTTTATAGCTGTAAGGTGTAGCTCCGTACTTTCTTGTGATAAAATACGTGACTGTCTTAAATTTTAATAATGGGTTCAAGACGAAGTGAGACTACTTGTGCTACGACAGCACATATCCCATCTATGTATGTATATATGCCAATGCTTATAGTTACGATTTTATGTACCGTTTTTAATCTTTACCGCCTACTACTGTTCTGTACAATCTAACTGTTTGACTGGGAGAGAATGCCTCTATGGCATTAAGTCCGCCATTTGTCCTTAGTTAGGCAATAAAGAATAAATAAATAAATAAATCTATAAGAAAAGATAAGATATCCCAAAAATAAAATAAATGAAAGCTACTAAAGTGAAGTGTTTTTTAGAGTCGTTGAACAAGCTCTTCGATATTGCTGCTTGTAAGTGCACTTTATTTGACATTTGTTCCTGCATAAAACCAAAGAAAGTTCCTATTTCTGAAAGAGACTTTTTACTGGACCATAGAAGTGATAGAAAAATGACAATAAGCGGTATAGACACAAAAGAAACGACAAGACTTTTGAAGAAACATTAGAGACCAGAAAACTTGAAGCGGTTTGCGGTTTGCGTGCTTTACGCATGTTTTCTCAGTACATCACAAGAAACTAATCCTGTTCCGGTGCGCGAGTTGCCGCCTTCACCGCTGTCGCCAGCAATAGAGCTTTCTCAGAATAGTGACGTACTTGTAAATGAGACTCCATCTATTTCATTGAATCGGAACACTGGTGTTGTCAACAGTAGCTAAGGTGTGTGAACGGTATGAACTACCCAGAAAGCAATTTTAACTTGTTGACTGACTTGCAACAAGTTTGATACGTCAAAAAATTGGTTATTAATCTTTTGATTATTCAAAACTTTTGGTCCAAAAGCGATTCGGGCACCTATGAAGATGATGGGTGTGTTACATATAAGTATCTTTGTCATAACAATATTCAAACAACATTGTCGCAAACTTGAAACTTCATATTTAACATAACAATATTGCAGCAACATTGTCACAAACTTGCCTCGTATATTTGACGCAGCAATTTAGAATCAAAGAAAAATCCAAAAGTTGCCCCAAGTTAGCATGCTATCTGGGTATCAACGTGATCTGTTGCTGCGGTCGCTTCGGCGGTCTTAGCTGACGTCGGATTTGTATCTTCCAAAGAGTTATAGATAAGAATAAATTCATAGAGATGTTTCTAAAGCACGGACTTAGGCCAGGAAAGATATTAATGCTAAAAAGTATCTACTTTGGCGATCGGTACCATCGCAGAGAAGTCTCGCAAGAGCACATTTCAGTTCTCACAGAGCCGGGATCTATTTGGGTCATACGACGCCAGGTCGTAGCACTGCCAAAGGGATAGCCGATTCTATTATATCTTTGTTAGAAAGTCAAGGGTTGAACTACGAAGAGGTGATCTGCTTGAAACGCTTCAAGCCTTTCGTAATGCACCCTGAAATGTTTCAAGCCTTTCGTAATGGCGTGCAGTCAATACTGAGACACCGGATATGTCAACATGGAAGCTTTATGTCACGAGTATGCGACACAAGTTTTGCCATGTAAATTGATGTGAAATTAGTTTCATCAGAAATGTGTATCGCATGTAAGTAACTACTGTAGTATTGTGGAAGTAATACATGCATTGCGTTGATATTAATGCAATGAAACTAGTTCCATGCAACTACAATCGTAAGGCAACAAAAAAAAAGCATCACCGTTTTACCGTAGACGTAGCTCAACCATAGAACTAGCAGTAACTCTCCCTTTATTTAAAAAAGTACTTACTATGAAATAGCGTTCACTATAATAGCATAAAAAACACACACACATGAAATAAATGCTAATAAATTCTTTGAGATGATTATTAAAATCTTATTACAACTACTTAAATGATCGAGGGCCCTAAGGCTCTAAAGCGCAGACAGAAGTACCTACGTTTTTCTGTCTGGATTATTTAGTAACAGAAAGTATTTGGATTGCCCGCATGTGTAAGATAAACATCTTGTAATGTAAGCGATTACTATTCCAGAAACGTCCGAATGTACGAGAAGATGATAATCAGACAATTAATTAAAAATACGGGATGGATCGAACCTTTAGTATAAAAGCGAAATCTAAAAAATAACATTAACAGTAGGTAAACGACAGTTCAGTTCATAAAACTTCCCTCGTATTGAAAATGGCTTCGAAATTAGCTTGTGCGTTAGTAGCGTATTGTCTATTTTATTTTTTTGTTACAATTAATTGTTCGATTGTGAAACCGAATAATATACCGAGAATTGGTAGAAGTGATGAAAGTGCTGGACCTTTCGATCAAAATTCAATGGGCTACGTAATAAAAACAAATAAAAACATACCACGAATAGGAAGAAGGAATTACGATTCGGTAAATTAGTTTGTGAAAGGAAATCTTAATTTCATAAATTTTTATATGATGACAAGTTTCAACATGAAATTATTTCAGGTAAATCGTTACGACATTCCAAAGTTTTACCAGATGCCAGGAGAAAGTTACGTGCAATATGGAGGTAAGGGAAAATAACTTTTCGTTAAATAATGTTGTTTTATACTTCTTGATCTTCCATTTGAGCTAATTGGATAAGCACTCGCCCGGATAGCAAGGGCATGGACTAATAATAAGGATAATTAAAAAACTGAACATTGATGGAAATACGTTCATTTGTAGCGAAGGGTATAAAGCACTTGAAGTTTGTTTTGAAAAGTCTTAGGTAGCTCAGTTAGAAGAGTAGTCGCGAGACTGGTAGTGAGGTGTTGTCGATTCGAGTCCAGCCTGGTACCCAAGTCAACTTTTTCATGTATTTTTAAGATTAATATTCCTTTAATTAGTGTAATTTACTGAAAAAATATTATTTTAGATGACCAGTTACCTGAATATAGTCCAGTTGAAAGTTTACCTTATGCTGACCGATATGAGAATATGAAGAAATAATGAATAACTGTTCATTTGAGCTACTTTTTAAGACAAAATATAAAAACTTGCATACGGAGAAGGCCTAATATAGTAATTAATGTTATGATTTTTTTTGCTATTTTGAATAAAATATTAATTATCACTGCATGAATGAAAGTACTTTTATTGCTAACCTATAAGTACATTATTTCAGGTAAAACTTTAAGCGTTTACTAATTGTAAATATTTTTGAACGCAATAAAAATTTAGGAGTTACAACAGCGTTGAATATGTAACTTAGGCGGTGGTGCAATAAGTAAGAGATAAAAATAAATAAATAAATCTTGTAAAAAAGACAATCTGTGGAGCATCCTTAGACAAAGGGAAAGAGGTAGTAACTGGCATCACCGATCAGCTGTCAAAAGGCCAAAAAGTATCCAAATGACGTATAAACCCGACTACAATGAAGAGCGATTAGGAACTTGACATTAATGTGGTTTTCTCTTTTTGTCATTGTGTAACTGCTATGTGTTCTCTCTTTCAAGCGTGTATGATGTCGGTACATTTCTAATTAGTAGGCTATTGGCAAAACATTTTCTTCCACATATATACAGTGGAAGAAAATCTAAAATTTTGGGAAATTCGTTACTAAATTTCTGGTGAATTGTATTCGATCAAAATGGTGGTAACTGTTGATGTGAAATTACCAGAAGACTCTGAACTAACAGTTCAGGAGGTCGATTTATCTGCAGCTACATTGTTCGCTGGATCTTTCCATCTAGGCAAATATTGTGAACATGCTAATAATGTAAGTAACAATTATTTTTTATATTTGCATATTGATTTTATTTCATTTAATCATTTTTTATGAACATCATTCATTCTTTATCACTCTGAATTTGATTGCATAATCGTATTTACTTGAGGTTATGTTTTGATATTTACCTATTATAATAATAACTCGTTAGTTTATTTAAGTGACAATATGCTATTATTTATTACTTAATGAAATTATAAAGGGCATGTTATTCACGTAGTAATGATGTATAACAGATAGTAGTTTTCACACTTACCAATAACATAACTAATTCATTATATATCCTTTTTATGAAGCAAATATAATATGTGCAATTTTTCAATATTAAAATTATCACAGGAATTCATGCTATGTCGTATGGAGGAGCAGGATCCTCGCAAATGTATCAACGAAGGCAAGGTAGTGACTGCCTGTACCATGGATTTCTTCAGGAAAGTAAAGAAAGCTTGCTTAAGTGAGTTCAACCAATACGCAAACTGTGTTGACAAAAGCTCCGGTGATTTCAGCTTGACACAGTATGTATTATGATGGCAGTTTTGAAGAAAATCATTTAATTTTAATCATACACATAATTGTTTTAATCAGAACTTTCTTTATAGAGTGTTTTATGGAAATCTTGGAAAAAGACCTATCCTATGTTGTTCCCCAGGCTTTAAATTATCTAACATAATCCACCCAGTGATAAAGTTTTAAAAACTTTACAGACTAAAAATTTTTGTCTGTATAAATTGTCAATGGTAAGAATTACAGAGAAACAGAAAACTGTTAAAAACTGCATTCAAATCCATTGTGTAGTTTAAAAGATCTGTGTACAGAAGGGGTTGTTTTATACTATTTACATTATATGCAATTTATTTACACAATAACCTCATTCATATATTTTTTTTTGTTTTGTTTTTATGTCTCTTTAAAAACACTTTTAATACCTATTTGCAAACCTATTTACTCTGGTCCCAAATGAAATAGCCCTTCTATGATGGACATCTTAAAACAGTGAAGGTACACACTCAGAGCTTTTCTATATTAACCATAACCAGAAACAAACCTGGTACTTCAGAGATGGACACCTTGAAACTGGAGTGCGAGTCACTTAGCCACAATGGTCATCAGATACAAATAAAGAGGCCTAATTAATCATTAGTAATTTACCAGGTGCCGTAAAACTCAAGGTGTATATGACAAATGTATGCTGGAGAAACTTAATATAGAGAGACCAGCATTTGGATACTTTTGTGAGGCTCGTGTTCATGATACTAAGAGGTAAATATAACACCTATACATAATAAAAATATTCTTCTAACAAAGGAAGTTGAATATTTAATAATTTCTTAATTATAGTATTTTCTGTGTCTCCACAGTTCTGTCAGTTATATGTATAGTTATTACTTTATTTTGCAGTTAAATTTTTTCAATCAGTACTTTTTGCGTGAATGAGTAACAAACATACCTACATCCTCATAAATTTGCGCATTTATAGTAATATAGGGCCGACAATTTATCACATGATGTTTTTTCCGCATTTTTTAACCCTACTTCCCCCTTGGTTATACATGGTGAGGTTTAAGACTTCCCACCTCCCCCTTGGTTATAAATGGTGAGGTTTAAGACGCCCCCCGCCCCTCGACCCAATTACGTTTTATCCCCTTTTTGACGCTGCTTTTCGGTTTAGTAAACGCGCGGTCGAGGAAAAGATAAATACACGTGATATATCACTACACCCTCCTCGTCCCTTGTGATATTTCGTGATTTTTCCCCCCTTTCGAGCCTCACATGTTTAATGGCGCTCCGCTAAGTAGGATTAAACTTCATAATTGTTTAAAATTGAATTAAACACTCTTTCCAGAGTTTGTGATAAATTGCCAAAAGACATTAAATTTAAATTAAAGATGACAAATTATTTCTGTGTAATTATCATTCATAGAACATAATATTTACTCAAAATAATAATAATGCTATGTCTTCTCATGCTTTAATGCAAAAAAAGAAAAAAAAACATTTATTTGGAATGCACTTACAATATATATATACAATTATTTTTTACTATTTAAAGCTGTATTAATTTTTATTTATTTAAAATTTTAATAAATGTACTATGCAATGTAATATTTCATAATTGATTGCGAATTCTTTCCATAATGTAATAAAATTTAAATTCAAACAGAGAAAGATAGTTAGGTATAACATAATATGTTGACTCTACCTAGCCTGACTTATCGTTGATCTTTTGATGTTGTTATTGTATTTTTTCAATATCAGACCGAAGCCCCCGGTTGAACCGAAGGCGGTATATCCGGACGCGACGCCAGCGTTGCCCGAAGACAGGGAGAAGGTGCCCGCGCGCTTCGGATCGCGTTTCTACTGGATGACCGAGTAGACCAGGTAAGAACATTTTTATGCTCCCGATCGTCCTGGGATTCCTTGCCAGTTACGCGGGCCAGATGTAAAATGATCTATTTTTAAAATCGATTGCAATTCCCTTCAGTGAAATTTGAAAGATATTCACGAACTTAACGCTACAATTATTTGACATGTGATAGCGATTTCGATCTTGACCTTGTTCATTCAATACTTTTTTGAAAGTATTGAATGAACGATATCGCTATTTTAACGTTAATTACCTAGTTTTTATTGTGTATTTTGATATTTCAAATCATGTTCCTAAAGAGATCGGACTTTAAAAGTTTAATAAATCCGAAAATCTCTATCAGTCATTGGAAAAGCCACCAGTGCGTTCATAGCCTTTATTTTGGAAAAAAAAATATATCAATAAATAAAACGAATAGCTGAGCGGAATAGCGGATAAGCGCCGTGGCCCGCGATTATTGTTGATAAGCAACTTTTCAAGGGTCGGTCACGAGAGGGGTAAATTTCTTACAATTGTTTTTCAACTCTATACTCACAGGATTAAGGTTTAAAATAAAATAAAAAATATATATTTTTATAACTTGACGGACTGTTTACTGATTGTGGGGTTCTTAAGATTCACCATCCGCCATATTAGTCTGAACTCATTGAATCAATGTGTCGCAATTTGCGAGGTCTTAGGTTCGTTGACTGGTTAGGTCAATGTAGAAAACGATTTTTTCTATATTGTCTCTGGTCTCACTGCTATTCTTACTACTTAGTACTTATAACGGGACTTATAACTCCGAAAAATTATAATTACAAAAATGAAGCTAATCACTACAATTAAAGTATATTTTTGATTGCTCTATGTACAGAAGCTAATCCGACCCGAGAAAGATAGTTACAACGGAGGCGTGTGGAGGAGACGCAATGAGTGGAAACATTTGTATTTTAATGGTTCGTTAATATTAAGTATTTACAAAAAGATAGTACTAATTATTATCAAGGCTATTTTCTATTTTATACGTGACTAGTAATTAGTATTTTTATTTAAGTAGTTTTTTATACATTCCAAGAGTTAAAGTTCACTTGTAGTGGTTGCAATACGTTTTTTCACGCTAAGATAAAAAACAACAACAATGTAAATCTAAAAACTATGTTTACCATGAAGTCTTTTAATATGTGGACGAGTACACATGTGGTCATAGCAAAGTATTAATACAGGATACAAAATGTCTCACGTATCTCTGAAGCAGAAAATTCAGTCGTCACTGTGAAAGGCTTTAAAAATATTTCAAAAAACGAAATAAAATTTAACTCGTCACGAAATTTCGACGGTAAAATTGGACTTAGAATCGTCACTGATTGATATGATAATGATTTTTATCTAATATTGAATTTTCAAAGGAATTTGTATTGCATTGTTATCAACGTAATAAACATATAATATAATTTGACAGATTCTGTAATCTCATGAGTAAACAAACACTTGCGATTTTCTAAACATATTATAAGGGCGTGCGATTCGAGAAATAATGCTCGTTGATATCGAATTGCATGAAAAGCCTATTAAAGTTTAACAAGATTATTGTGCACGATTATAGCGGCAATAGTTAAAAAAGAACTATAATATGAAAAGTCTCACTTAATCAAAATATTATTGTCGCCCTATTAGCAAGGGACAAATGTCTCTGTACTTGATATCTCGTTCGGGTCGCTTTTCTGCTGGGAGTACTCTGTCCTGTTATAAGTACTAAGACCATTATATTGTTATATAGCTTCGTTATATCTGCCGTATCTTCAACTACCTACTTCTTTTTTTCAGATTGACCTCCAGTTTCCTGCCTGCACAAACAAACATGTTTGTGCAAGTAACATATTGGGGCTAACCTGTGGTCAAATTGTGAAAATGTAATAAATATCTTTAGACAACAATTTTGTATTTAAAGTTTTTTATGTATAAAAACTTTTGTTTGATGTAAGTGTAACGATCGTAAGTGTAATAATCATGTCTTGATAGTTTTCTAATATGTTACTTCAAGCATTATCAGCTGTTTAATATGTAGAATAATAAATTGTTAAAACTGAAAAATGGATTTTATTGAATTAACAATAAATGTGGTTTTACGATTTACTGTAAGTATCGGTACAGTACAGCTCACTGATGTACCTACCCAGGTATAGTAAGTGAGCCACAAGTAGTTATTTTTTCCCTTCTGGGTAGAAGGGAAAAAGTAACCACTTGCCTGACACTGATTGTGAGTGAGACGGACCCCTAATGCGTTATATTTTACACCTTATGTATATTTAAACAGAACTCTTTATAAAATTTGTAGGTCTGTTCTGCGCAAACGAAGTGTCTATCCGTCCGGTCGATGTTATCTATGATAACCTGAGATTTATACCTCATTCATTGAAGCAGTGGCGTAACCGTGGCTAATTCATCGTATATTCAATTTTTTTATACTAATTGCGTAATAATAAATGTCAGAAGAAAGGAGCCTTCTCTGACCGGGGGCCCCTTCCAGCTAGGGGTCCTGGCATTTTGTCACTTGCCACCCTGCAGTTACGCCCCTGCATTGAATTGAAACGGAACGGTATTGTTGTAATTAATCAACACAATTTAAAAAATCGTAGGTACCTCATGTTGCTAGAATATTGTTATTTTTTTTGTTTTAAAGCATGGATTTATAAATACTCATGGATTAATGCTTGTTGTTATTCATTTGAAAGTGTATAATTTATTTTAACTAAGGAATAAACACTACTTGTTATTTGGTTTGAGATTAAAATTAAAGCTATTTTATTGTTCGTATAATCAGACTGATAACAACATAGTATAACAAGATGTATGAACGTCAACTTAAGCCTGTTTTGAAAAAAAAAAACAAGAAACTTAGAATGATGCTTGACATTGACACTAATAGAGATGTGATTTTATTTAAATATCGATTTTAAACATATTTTATGATTATTGTAATAATCGGTATATAAATAAAAATTTCTTTTTTCAAAAAATAATCACTTTGACATTATCTCTTCAATAATCAATCATTGTCAATATGCCTTTCAGTAAAAATTTCTGTTTTACACTCGTGCACTGAATTATTTAACACTGCTTTTCAAACCAAAACACACTAAGTATTATCAATTAAATTATTAAAATTTACAGATACTATTTTGTGCTTTGAGATGCGCGCCAAATCATCAAATCATAAAAAAACAAATTTTTATTTCCTAGTTGATATATCAATACACTGGATTAATTCTAATAGGGATGATGCTTAATTTTTGTATGTCTGTTCGTCAGGTAGATCATTGAAGAATATTAAACACGTATTTTTTATTTCTTGCATAATTAATAAAATATGGCGACGCATTGTGACGCTTTCGTACATTTTCTAAGTGGTCGAAACTTAGCGAACTCCCATTTTTCAAATTTAATGTCTCTTAGCTAAGCCATTTCTTGTTAAATTGAAGTAAAAATAATACTTATCTACGAGGGTGGATTGAAAACTTTGCGGCCTCAGCAAGAAAACAATATAAATATAAGCAAAAGTAATTTTATTTTTCCACGTAATTGGTTTCCAACGACTGTATGCCGGTCATAAAAAAAGTTTCTTCAAGGCCTTCAAAAAAGTCACAGACCGCAGCTTCGACCTCCATATTTGGTGAACATTTTTGACCTCCAAAGTGTTTTAGGTTTGGGAATAAATGAAAGTCTGCAGGTGCCAAATCAGGGGAATAGGGGGATGGGGTAGTAATTCAAAGCCACAATCACGAATTTGAGCCATAGATTCAACAGACGTGTGAACGCGTGCATAATCCTGATGAAACAACACTTTCTTGCTGAGTAATCCTGACCTTTTCTCTTTGATTGTTTCGGGTAAGTGACGTAAAAGGATGCAGTAATAAAATGAGTTTCACAGTTCGCAAGGTAGTCCACCATGATTACACCCTTAGCATCCCAAAAAACTGACGCCATCACATTGCCAGCTGACAAAATTGTTTTGGCTTTTTTTGGAGTCGGTTCATCACGTTTTTTCCACTGCTTGGATTGCTGTTTTGACTTTGGGGTGTAGTGGTGTACCCAAGTTTCATCCATTGTTACAAATCTGGATAAAAAATCTTGTGGATCAGCCTCAAACATTTCCAAACAGTCGCGAAAAATCGTTGGGTGTATTCGTTTTTGTTCGACTGAAAGCAATCTGGGTACCCACCGAGCAGAAACCTTAGAAAATCCAAGTTCATTGATTATGATGTTTTGTGTTGTTTTTGTGCCAATAGTCTGCAATCTCCCTGATGGTCAAACTCCGATCTGTCAATATCAGATCACAGATTTTACCGATGTTTTCTTCAGTCGTAGACGTCATAGGCAGGCCAGAGCGAAGGTCACCTTCAATACTCTCTCGTCCGCGTTTAAATTCAGCAACCCACTTTTTCATAGTCGTTTACGACGGAGCAGATTCCCCCAATGTTGTTGACATATCTTCGTGAATCTCTTTTGGAGTTAGTTTTTTTTAAACAAGTATTCGATGACCGCAAGTTGCTCAATTTTCTCCATTCTTTAAAAATGCTGCACAAAGGCTCACAAGATTCAGTCCAACTTAAATACAGTTAATGCTATTGCGATAGAATTTTACAATTTGACAACTAGAGAGTAAACTAATCGAATGAGGTCAGTTACATTAAAATAGTTTAATGTGTTAGGCCACGAACTTTTCAATCCACCCTCGTAATATTTTTCAATTATCTGACTGACGGACTAAATAGAACTTATTTTACTTTTTACCCTGTCATCATGCCTATATAAGATATCGATTTAAAAATCAATTAGTTTGATGCTATATCGATTATCGATTTCTAATCGCTACTCTCTAAAAGACTAAATTTTTATCATTGTTTTGATTTCAATATAAATATAGTTACCTTCTACTTCATATTGTAGTGGATTTTAAAATAAATAAACATAATGATTTGCTTATTTCAATAATAATTTATACTCTATACTATGTATAGTTTGGTTGCTTATGTTTTGATTTTAATATCATAATTGTCAATGTGTAAAGAGTAATACATAAACTAAAGATGAACGATTATTATAGCTTTCCTATTGCTGGGAGCTCTCAGCAGTACTACCAGCATACATATGA